CACACACACACACACACACACACACACACACACACACACTGTTTTCTTTTCTTCTTGAAAGCTACATCATTTGTTATATGAATTGAACATACACCTCAACAAGAAACACACACAAATACATTTATTTGCACAAGTGTCAAATGCAGTCACATAGGCATATGATGAAGGATTCCACTGGAAAAAAAAACTTGTAATCCACATTATTGGTTCTCTCAATGTGATGGGCACATGAATCAATTTGACAAAGTAGAGGCAAAAGATTAACTATTGAAGTACAATAAGAACAACAATAAAAGACAAAAAAGCTTTTTAACAAGCATGCATACCTTTGCTATTTTGACTAGCCGATCATAGTTATCATGTCCATAGAAAAATGGCTCCTTACAAAATATCTGTACAGCACAAGGCTAAGCATCACAAGAGAGCATCACATACTTTGACATGGTATCAAATTTTGACTCTCGCCATCTGCAACCCATGGATAAATAGGCAAGCAGATCAAGATCTATTGTTCATGCATCACTAAGAGAAGTTTTATCCATCACATTTGAAGTACTCATTTCGGGATAGAAAAACTATTGCATATATTCAAGCATCCCCTGCTAAATGCATAAATTTAATTATATCAAGGGTTGATTTTGGGCTAGATGGGGAAGAGGATACACAATACTTGATATATTTAGGCCAAATACCAGCATAACCATAATGAGCTCAGGAGTATGTGATATATAAGGTGCCTTAATAGAACAAAATAGGTTGGGAAATGCTCACCATTCCAGCAAACATGCAACCAAGACTCCACAAGTCTAAAGAATAATCATAATCTTGTGAATCAACAAGAAGCTCAGGACCTTTGAATACCTGAAATCAAATGGGGGCCGGGGGAAGAGCATAAGACAAATCTGAACACAAAAAATTTATGTTACTAATAACCATCATTTCATAGTATAAACTAAAAGTCCTCAAAATAAAGAAAAAGAGGGTGGGCGTGGAGGGAGAAGGGGACTTGTTTCCTAAAACAATGTAGCTTTAATAAGGGAAGTTCTGTCCAGCAAGTGTCTTCCCACATTCCTACATTCAAATATAGAATTGTAATTTTAAACTTTCCACACAATCAATTCTCTATATACAAGAAGGTTTTAGGCAAGAGCAACAGTTTCTACAACAGAAAATTTTAAAAAAGTTATCACAGTTTCAGATAAGAATGTATGAGATGTGAATAAATATTATTGTCTTTTGTGAAGTAAAAGATATGAAAACAACCTTGAAGCAACACGAACATTATACTCCTTCTCAGGGTGATAGAACTCGGCAAGGCCCCAAACAGAGCAAACCCAATATCTCATTCAATATCACAGTCACTTAATCAGAAACCAAGTTAAAGTTTTACCTGTCTTGCAGGCCTCCCTTACTGCAGCTAGCTTCACCTCTATAGCCTACAGAACTCAGCAGCCATATCCTTACAATTTAAGGAAAAAAAAAAAACTACGCAAAAAGAATATTAGGCTGAAAGAATGACACTGCTACCTCACTAACCCAATTGAATCTGAAATCAAATCTAAAAAATCTAACACCACAGATAAATATAGAAATTAAAACAGCAAATCAAATCACAATAGCATAAACAAAATTGAAACAAAAAGGAAAAGAGGGAGATGATACCTTGATAAAATCTTGATCTCCAATCAAACGAATTTTAGGACAAAATTTTGAACATAGAAGAGTGACAGAGAGAGAGGGTTACCTTGAGAGTGTAGACATGAGAAGCTTTGGGGACGAGCTAGAGAAACAGATAACAAGACAGAGAGCGCCGACCAGAGAGAACCATCGAGAGATAGACGACGAGAGAGATCCGTTGAGAGGAAGATGGCGGCAGGTGATGACTGATGCGAAGGAGATGATGGCATCCACGGCGTCGCCGAGTCGATGGCTTCGCGGCATCAATGGAGATCGCAAAGGAGATCGTGGAGGCGAAGAAACCTGTGGGCTCGAGAGAGACCTCATGAAGGAGATCTCGAAGATTGTGGAGGTGTCCTCGTGAAGATCGTGGGGGCGATGGAGTGTTTCAGCGATGAGAAAGGGGAGTTGAGAGAGATAGGGTTTCTAAAGGTTGCGAGAGAGTGCGGTGAAAGTTGCCTTTCAGCGAAAACTTAAGTGAATTTTTTGTCGAGCGCCTTTTAAAGCACGACGGTTTTTTATAAGTAACCATCGTAATTTTTGCCAGCTTATTTTAAAACACGACGGTTTTAGATGGAACTGTCGTGGTTTTTCATGGTTTTTAAACACACGACGCTTTTTAATTTTACCGTCGTTAAAAAGGCGTCGTAGTTTTCCATTTTTGTAGTAGTGTCTATTATCTCCCAAACTCTCTTTTCTCTCTCACCCCTTGCTCAGCACTTTGATGCACTTGTGAACACTCTCACACACTTGGTGTTTCCCTCCTTTGGTGTCTAGACACTCGAGACCCAACTCAACGCACTCTTGAACTGATTGCCCTCTCTCACTTCCTCCCTTGGTAAGTTCAATCTCTTGGACACAATAGCTCCAGCTACTTGACCACTCCTTGAGATTAACCACCCACATAGTTGTCTTGCATCTTCTTTTCTTTTGTAGGCAGACTTTTGGACTTAGTAGAGGGCTGCAATTACTCCTTCACGTTCTTGCTTTCAGCTACCCACCTAAACACAAGGTTAGGCAAACCAGAAAACAAGCCATAAAGCATGCACCCTTTGTCTCCTTGTCTCCCACCTAGAAAACCCTTTGGTACAAGACAACAAACAACATTTAAATGGTGTTCCAGCTTCTAAGGCATGTTGCCAAACTTCCTAGAACCCATAAAACTCTTTGGAGGCACTTAGAGTTAGGCAGGGAAAAAGCACATGTGAAAGGCACCTTGAAAAACGCATGGAAAAAACGACACAGCGCTTATGCCGACCGGTCGCACGTTCCTGGCGACCGGTCGCATTGCAATCTGTCTGAAAGCGACAGGTCGCTGGTCACGATTTCCAGCTTCTCCTCCATACTTCGAATCTGCTTCAAAACGACCGGTCGCTTTTCCCTTGCGACCGGTCGCTTCCTCCTTCACTTGCATACTAAATGTGAGCCAATTTTACAACAATATCAAGCTGTATGAGTATCTCACCATACAACGCTCTGCCCATATGATTGCTTCCTTTTGATTTGAACAATTTTGCAAGAGAATATCAGTAGACTTGTTGAGACAAGCTTGACAAGAGTCCTCTGCATAATGCAATTGCATTGATCTTGTTGGAGTCTTGTCCCCTGGATGAATTGTAAAACCCGGAATTGATTTGGGTGTTGGAGGAGAAGGAAGAGAGGAGGCTGTTGAGGTTCTCTTGGTACTTGTCACCTGCTGTGTAGGTGCCAGTATCAGAGCATTTCCAGCAATAATTAATAAGCTGTAGTTGTGCATATTCCATCATCTTGGGATATGGTGGGAGCAACAAGGTTTAAGATAATAATAGGCTATTCACAAGTAGCAACTTGTCTTATAAAGGAAAGATTAAAGAAGAAAAGCAATGATCTTGAGGAACCCATTTTTCTTGCTCAACTCACAAGTAGCAACTTGTCTTATAAAGGAAAGACATTAGTTCCTTGACGGTTTCCTGACCCTTAATTCGATCTTATGTTTGTGGTACAATATTGACCAATCCCATATAGCATATGATATTTTCCATTTTCTTTTTTTGATGAATATGATATTTTCCATTTTCAAACTTCTTAAGAGTAAGTGCATATATTGATTGATTTGTTGTGCTTCCTTGGATGATCACATGTCGAGCTGCAAACTTCTTAAGAGAATCCCCTGATGAAGCTTTCTCAGTCAAAGTATCCAAGAAGAGATTAAGCACCAAATTGAACTGGACGGGGTCAATTGCATTACTTATGCCAGGGACATACTTAATAGGTTCATCTTCCTCAACACCAAATATTAAGTTGCTCGAGTATCGTACCATGCATCGCTGCGCCTAAATGATTGCTTCATCTTGGTTTGAACAATTCTTGAAGAGGATGACACTGGACTCGTTGACACAAGTGTGACAGTCGTTGAGGGACACATCTCCTCTGCATAATGCAATTGCATTCACTTTGTTGGGGTCTTGTCCCATTGATGAATTGTAAAAGCCATAATTGATTTGTGTATTGTTGGATGAGAAGGAGGAGAGGAGGTTGTTGAGGTTTTCTTGGTAGATGCTGCCATCATTGTAGGTACCAATATTGGAACATCTCCAGCAGAAGTCGGCTGTGTAAGTGCACACACCGTCGTTGATTTGGGCTACGGCAGGAGGAGCAACAAGGTCCAAGATAATAGGAATTGCAATGAAGAAGACGAGCAATCTTGAAGAACCCATTTCTTGTTGCTGAAGTCAAAAGTAGTGTTGTATACAAACTAGTAAGAACTTGTGTCTTCAATTCTTGGTTTAATAGACTAGTAGCATTATGTATTTGCTTTGATAATCATCAATCCAGTTATTGCCCCAGTTGGTTGCTGTTGACAATTAAATTTTATTTATGGGTTTGTAGTACAATTTTATTTATTATGACTTTATCAATCCTCTGTTTAAAGACAGAGTTGTGGGGCTTATTCAAATAAAAAGGACTCCTCTGAGATCTGCGTCCATGGCTTATTTTTTCAATTAAATTAAATGGAAAAATAAGAATTCATCTGCAACTTCATGCCTCTCCACAACATATTGTCAATCAACGACAAAGGCTTTATATTTTATGGTTGGTGAAGATATCATGTAGAACAAGAAAATCCTGAAATGTGAAGGCTGTTTATAAACAAATGACAATAAACAATCAAAATATATTATCTCCCACTCCCATCCCAGGGTCTTATTTTCATATGCTGCCAAGGAATTGCTTGATCATCAGAAAAATATGAAAAAAATAAGGTAAAGAGACTTGAGGGTTTAGCATTTTTCTTCTTCTTCTTCTTCTTTGATTTCTGGCACAACAATGAAACTATAATGGTTAACTTACAGGAGGGGGCTTGTAGCCCTATTGTAACCCATCTGAAGGTTACTTGAATACGACTTAAATACGTTTATTTATTTTCGTGAACCGTTCTACAAATTATTAATCGAGAGACCACACCCATATGATTATAAGCCTGCACCCAGAACAAATAGGGTCACATTTTATGTCAATTCATTTCTAGTTAATTTCAGCCTCTTTATATATAATATTTGAATCAGTGTGAATGCTACCCGTATAATGAATGTATATAAATAATATAATTTGAATTGATATGAAAATATTGCCTTTTGAACTTGTGCACGAGCAGGATAGATATGAATTAGCTCACCAGATTTAATTTGAGCTCTGCCATTTTAATTTTAAATCTAAGTCGGCCTAGGCTTGAAATATTTCAGAGCAAACATGCGCAAATCTATGGGTCAAGTCAACCACGAATTTAACCCACTTTACTTGCCCTTTTAAGTCCTAAACTCTTATTAGTTGTACAGCTTCAACTTTAAGAAGAATATTTCAAACGTATAGCCGGGCGGCTATACTCTACAAGTAGAATATTCAACGGTATAGCCGAGCGGCTATAGCCTTTAAATAGAAAGTTCCAACCGTCACTACAAAAAAAGGGAGCAATAGTCACTAACTTATTGGTATTGGTGACAATTGAATAGTTGGTCAATGCTTTTGTTTATCTGTCACTATTATTTGTGACTAATTTCTCACATTTTAATATTTTGGTGACAGTTGATTTAAATATAATAAATATAAAACTAATTATTGTGATTAACACTGAAACAGTAATTTTTCATGACTAATATTTGATTAGAGCCTTGCTAATAATTGTAATCCAATAAAATATTCGGTGGATTTCCCACCTCTCGTTCTCTCTCCTCAACCTCTCTTCTCTTACTCAAACAAATCATAACTTAACCCTTTTGTTTTGTAAAGCTCCTCTCCCAAAACAACCCCGCAACCCCTTTCTCGTCTGATTTTCTTTTTAGATCCGGTGGTTTCCACCCCGATCCCTCCATTTTTTTGGCTATCTCCTTGCCTTTGACAGAGTTTGTTATATCCCTAGTTTTTCTAGGGCGTTTTTTTTGGCTCTAGGCGGTCCTTTTAGAGATTTGAGATTTTATATCTCAGATCTGAGATCTTATATCTCAGATCTGAGAGCTAGAGTAGGGCTTGCTTCAGTCATGGCTTTCCTTGTATTTTGTTTTCTGTATAAGCTTTTTTTTCTACTTTTTTATATATTAATATATTCTTTGATATTCTGTGATGTTGGAAGATCAAGTTCTGCAGGGGCGGTGGAATTGCTAGAGGCGCCTCTATTCCCAGGTGTTTTTTTTAAATTTTTTTAAATTTTATTAATATACTCTCTGTAATTCGCCTTTTTCTATTTCTGAGTTCTAAAGAAGTTGTTTTATCTGGGTTTCTCTTCCCTTGAACATTGGTGGGTTGGGGTTATTCATTAGATGAGTACAAGATTTCTATTTTCTTAGATTTTATTTTATTTTGATCTGCCCTTTTCTCTTTCTTTCCCTGGGAGAAAACCAAAAAAAGCAGTTTCCAGCGGTGAGCCCAAGCCCGGGCAAGGTGCGGGTCCCAGCAAGTCGGGCTGGCCCGAAGGCCAGTTCAGCCCTAGGTCCAACTCGCGGTTTGGATGACGTCATGCGCGACGTCAGCGCTACAGTATATGCTACAGTGCTGCGCGCTACAGTGCCACTAAAGTCCACGTGTCGTGCTCTGAGCTCTCCGATCGAATTTTTTTCTCCAATCCAACGGCAGCCAATTTTTGTGCAATAAAAAAAATGAAAAAAAATTACTTATTTTTTTTCTATAAATACCAAAATTTTATCTGATTGAGATATGAATTTTATAATAAATATTGACATGTACGAACCCAAAAATCTTATCCGAAAATATTATCCAAATTAATTATTGAGATAAAAAAATTTGTGAAAAAAACAAAAAAATGAATAGTAAT